AAAGCGCCGGGCGCTGGCTTAGCGCCCGGCAGACTCCGCCGCGGCCGTGACCCTGGGCGCCGCGCGCTTGCCCCGCACTCCCATCCTAGTCGCCAGCCGCCGGAGGCAGCTCCCTCCTCCTGCGAGCGCTCCCCTCCCAATTCCCTCCCCCGCTCCGGTGGCGCCCGCCCTCGTCCCCGCCCTTTTCTGCTCCCGCAACCTGCCACCGCCGGTTATTGAACCCTGTGCTCGCCTGGCCGTGGTGCAGGGGACAGCGAGGCCTGACTAGGGTGGTGGTGGTGGTGGTGGTGGTGGTGGTGGTGGTGGTGGTGGTGATTGTCGCTGACCCGGAAGAAGCTGGGCTTGCTCCACGGAGGGAAGGATTAACGGCAAAGAGGTTCCCTTAGTTCTCATTCATCCAACCTTCCGAGGCTCGCCGTGGCCGAAAGAGGCAGTGGGGGAGGGGTGCGTGTGTATGGGAGGACGGGAGGAGGGGGTCACCCCAACAGCTTTCTTTAGAACTAAAAAGAAAGGTGCAATGGGGGGGGGCAGGAGCCATTGCTTATTTTGTTTGCAGTAAGACATTACTATTTTAGGTGGCAGGGCCTCCCCTTTGTGGATCCAGGTTGTCGCTGAGGAGTGTCTCCCGGGCGCCTAGGACACTGGGTGCACGTTTGCGTGCCGGGCGTTTTATTCCAGGAGCCTGTGTGTGCTTACGCTATGTGCGTGCGCAGCTGTGCAGAATGAATCACAGAATCGGAGATGGAAACACCTGTTACTGTTGGTCATCAGGCTCGGCGGGCACAGGGTTCCAGTTTCCATTGCTAGACAGTTCCGCGCCCTTCCTGGGGAGGATCCTCCCCTTCATTCTTTCTCTCAGTCCTGAGTGTCAGCTGTGTGCTGGGGATTGGCTGAGGCCCGCAGGCGGATGAAAATGGACACAAGTTACTTCCGCCCCCCTGCACCCCAGAAGTGCCCAGTTTCCTGCTGGATGGCACAGTCCCCATTAGCAATCACTGGACCAGGCGGAGGTTGGAAAGTGTCACTGGGGAGTAACAGAAACTGTTGCGGAGCTCTGTGAGCCTCATGGGGATAACAGCATTTGAGGATCCTGAACCGGTGGGCAGGAGGAAGCTGCATATCAGCCAAGGCTAGGAAGGTTCGTAGAACTGTAATGTTTGATATCTCAGTTGTATTCGGGGCGTACTGATTTGACTTTGTGGCAGTGGGAATGAGAGTTGTCAAGGAGGAATTCCAGGGATTTCTGGATGAAGTTTGGATTTGATTTATAGGCAGTGAAGAAGATAGATTCGTTTTTAGGGTCTTCATGTCATTTATGATGCTAAGAGAGAAAAGATGCTCTTCTGTGATTGTCAAAGTGTGCTGCCCAGGTCTGCAGCATCAGCATCTCCTGGGACACTACTATATTCAAATTCTAAGGTCAGAGTCCAGGCCCTTTAAAACAGCACCTCAGATTTAGATCCAGTAACCTGTGCTTTCGAAGCTCCGAGACTGGCTCAGACACACTGCAGTGAAGGCTTCCTATTCCAAAGGTCAGGCCTTGGACCAGCAGTATTAAGCAGCACTCACAAGCGTGTGGGAAGTGCTGGGTGTACACTTCCCAGACTGTCAGTGATAGGTACCAGACTGACCTGCCGCTCTGCAGTACAGAAAACTGTCAACACCCCCCACCCCCAGCTTGTATTGTCACCCTAAGACTCTAGGTAAAGTTTGTGTTTCCGTTTAACAGATGGAAGTGCTATGGGACAATGTTTGCAGTTCGTTACCTTAAAAAAAAAAAACTTCTTGTTTTATGTGATTGAATATTCTTTTACCGCTTCCCCCTTGCAGTTCTGGGGATTGAACCTGGGGCTTCATGCATGCTAGCAAGTGCTCTACCACTGAACTGGGCCCCTATGCCTTATATATTGCTTACAATATGCTTATTGTATATCTGTACCATACATAGGGTGTGGAAGCAATTGTTTTGTAGCCAGAGAGCATTTTACTGTACACTATGCCAGATACTGGATTCAGAACTTTATAGATAAATCATTTTACCTTCGTAACAATCTAGTGAAATAAATGCTGTTACGCTAATTTTGAACACCATGCTGCAGAGACTTGCAGAAATTCTACTCCCAGTAAGTAGCAAATCTGTTTTTTGTTTTGTTGTTGTTGTTGTTCTGTGTGTGTGTTTGAGAGAGCATTTCTCTGTGTAACAACCTTGGCTATCCTGGAACTCACTTTGTGGACTGTAACATGAGGGCCGGCTTGTTGGGGTATCTGTTCCCACCCGGTACCCCACAACCAGCAAGTCCCAGAGAAAATCAATCACACAGAGATCTCTATAAGTTATAAAGCTGATTGGCCCATTAGGTCAGGCTACTTATTAGCTCTTATAACTTATGTTACCCCATTATCCTTATCTATGTTAGCCATATGGCTTGGTACCTTTTTCAGTTGTCAGCTTACATGTTGCTGCTTCGGTGGTCTGCGCAGGAGTGGCAGAGGAAACTTCCTGCTTTCCAGAATGCTCTTGTTCTCATTGCATCACCTCTACTTCCTGTCTGGTATTCCCGCCTATACTTCCTGCCTGGCCAATCAGCGTTTTATTAAAATACATGATTGACAGAATACAGATAATTCTTCCGCACCAGTGGACAAGGCTGACCTTGAACTCACAGAGATCCGTCTGCCTCTATCTCTTGAGTGCTGGGATTGAAGGCGGGAGCCACCAGGCTCAGCTCAGTCAGAAATCTGGTTTCTGACCCATGCAATCCTGCTCCAGGATCTCTTGCATCGCTCTTTATACTTACTCATATTTATTCTTCGGTTTTTACTTATTTTCCTGTCTATAAAATTACGTTAATTTTAAAGTACTTTGGGTCAAATCCAGGGCCTCATTTGTGCTAGGCAAACATCCCACCACTGAGCTTAATACCCAGATCAAGAAAGTCTTGGCAAGGTGGTGGCACACACCGTTAATCCCAGCACTCGGGAGGCAGAGGCAGGCGAATCTCTGTGAGTTCGAGGCCAGCTTGGTCTACAAGAGCTAGTTCCAGGACAGGCTCCAAAGCTACAAAGAAACCCTGTCTTGAAAAACAAAACAAACAAACAAACAAAAAAGTCTTGAAACATACTGTCAGTGTGCTTTTTCTCCCTCATGTGTATGTGAGTGTTCCCGTGTGTGTGAACACACAGGCGTGGGATGCAGGTGCACATGCATGTGGCGGCCTGAGGTTGATGTTGGGAGTCTTCATTGGTGTTCTCCATATTTTTCACGGTGGTGGGTCTCTCAGTTGAACCCAGGGCTTAGGAAGCAGTTAGTCTGGCTAACCAACTAGCTCTGGTGATCCGCTGTCTCCACCTTCCAATTGCTGGCACTAAGGGTGGGCCCCCGAGCCAACCCAGCGTTTACAAGTGCTTTAATCACTCAAGCCATCTCCCCAGCACCCAGTTTGTTTGTTTGATTTTTAAAATGTGACACAGCTGGATGTGGTGGCTCCTACCTGTAATCCCAACACTCAGGAACTGGGCAGTAAGTATGTGTGCTTCAAATTCGATCTGCCTAAGAGTACATAGGGAATTATAGTGAATTCCAAGCAGCCTGGGCTACAGAGGGAGACCTTGTCTATGAGAGAGAGAGAGAGAGAGAGAGAGAGAGAGAGAGAGAGAGAGAGAG